TAATGATCCTATTTACTAATTATAAAGCTATTATTAATATCTAATCCTATTAGGTTAATAATATTACTAATTTAATAGCATATATAACTATAAATAAGAAGCTAGTCTGCATAATAGAATATATATCATAATTTGATCTCTATATTATCTATAAGCCTAGAAAAAATTATTTAGTACCTAATACGCTTAGTAGACTCCCTACTAATAATGCTACTATACTTAATACGCTTAACGCCTTAGATATCCTTCTAGATAATCACCTAACTAATCTCACCTTTACAGCTAAAGCTAATTAATACCTATCTATTTATAATCTAATCTATATTAATATTAATCTAATCTAACTTCTACTTATTAGTAAATTTAACTACCTACTTTTAGAGCTAATTAAGGTTATTAGCATCTTATTAAGACTAAACCTAGTTATATAACTAGCTTCTATAATAGTAGAGATTTCACTAGCCTTTAAAACTAAGATCTAATCTAGCTATAAGACTAATTTAGTCTAACAAAAGATCCTTAATATAATCTAATAGAACATAAAGCTTAATCTAAATAACTACGCTAAGTTGCTATTCTAAATTAGATATAATCTCCTCTAGAAGATAGATTCTAATTATATCCCTTAACTTTATATCCCTTAATCCTACTTTAGCGATATATTTAACTTAATCTATAATAGTAACTACCTCAGTTATAATAAACTATTAGAATTTATATCTTAATACTATATTTATAATAGTTTTAAAGAATTATAAAAATACCTACTTAACTACCTATAATATTAAGTCTTCTAGATCTAACACTATAAAGCTTATAGTAACTTATAACTTATCCTACTACTACCTTACCCCTACTATATAATCTTAATTAACTTTATACTAATATTACTACTATCTAAAGAAGGTTTTAATATAGCTCTAGTTATAATCTATAAGATATCTAAAGAGATCTTTATTATCCTAGGTAAAATAATAGATACTATAGAGAAATAAGGTATATAACTTAGATACTAATTAATATCCTCTAACTAAGGCTTTCCTAAGGTGATTATATTAGATTAAGATCTAAAGTTCCTATCTATAATATAGAAATTAATCTAAAATAAAGCTAGAATAACTCTATTTTATATAACTACTTACTACCTTTAGATAGATAGCTAAACAGAACATATAATCTAAATAATTAAATCTATATTCTAGCACTATCTCTATTCCCTATTAAGTCCTAAATTATAGCCTACTTATTTACCTTAATTAAAGTTTAAATTTAACTATATAAGATCTATATTAACCTAATTATTACTTAATAAGATTATTAAGAGCTTTATACTTAATAATATCTTACTATTAATATCTTATAATTTATAACTATATACTATTTAGCTCTTATTAGCTTAGATCTCAGCTTATAATACTATTATAATATCTATGCTCATAATAAAATAGCATTATAATTATAGATATATAACTAAGTTCTTTAATATCTATAATAAGGTCTACTTATAATTATATAAAGGATATAATATCCCTAAAGCTACAATTCTAAGCCTAAAGTATAGATAATACTATGCAAACCTATTTGCTATTATATAATATATTAGCTATGCTACTTATAGACTTATATTCTTACCCTATTTTAAGATCTATAACGTTATATCTATTAACTACTTAGAACCTATAACCTATATAAATCCTTATAGTTATTAGTTACTACTAATTCTACTAATCTTAGCTAAAGATAAATCCCTTATTATTAATATAATCCTATAGGAATATAATCTGAAATCTAATAAGTAGTACCTTATCTCTTATAAATATCTAGGTTTAGATTATTACTAATAGATATATTAATCTAATCTCACTAAGCTTCTTACTTATAATAAGCTAATCTTAGTATAGAACTAAAATTACTAAACCTAATACTACTAAAGATATTAAGAACTAATTAATAGAAACTATAGATTAGCAAAAACTATAAATCATAATAGATTGAGGAGGAAACCTAGGATTTAGATATCTAGAAATAGCTTTAGATTAGATTTAGTAGAGAAATTAGTAACTAATGAGGGTATTAGTATTTTAGAGGGGGGTATACTATAAGCTTAGCTTATAGCTACCCTATTATATAATACGCCCTTAGGGCAGTACTTAGATATATCAACCCTATCAGGTCCCATACTAGCAATCCATCTATCTACAACCACACCTTATAGTACTATACCTCACAGACTCTGTGGCTCATTATTTCGCGAAAGAAAGTTCACTTCCGCTTCCAACAGCAAAATTTAGCTTTATAATTCAAGTGATAATGAGGGGTTCGCCTCGAGTGGCGGCAAAATTCCAACACAAAGTTTCCTGCCAGAATATTGCTCAGCGTCTGCTGTACTGCCATCCGGTGTTCCAGCGCAGAATGCTGTCCCAGTCCGCCGGTCCAGCACCCTAATTCCTGCGCCAAGCATCATGGGAAGAGAAACGCGGTGTCAAGGGTTCAGAATCTGACGATGGCTATGCCCTCTTTCCTTCCTTACTTCGCTAGCAGGTCTTGGCCGGCCGACTGCAGCATTTGCCCAACCATGCGTCGGGATCTCGCCGACCGTTTAGGAGGCTGCAAGCCACCCACCTCGGAGAAATGAACTTTCGTGAGATGCAGCTATCCATGGACCCCGAAAGCGCATGGAAGAAGTTTATAAGCCTGCTGCGAACCCTCAAGAAGTGGAATTATTCACCAATTCAACCTCATCTACCATCTGTTGCGCTGTCGCGATTGAGAGGCGAATGTTCTCTACACAGTCTGCGACCATGTTAATCTTGTCGTCTTTCGTCGGTGCCTTGCTGCTGGCATCTGAAGCATTGGCCTGCGCGGGCCATGAGAATTACCATGCCATGGGGATAAAACGACAAACTGCTCCTGTCCCTCCCAAACCGGCAGACTGGGCCTATGAGGCTTCATTCAATTGGGGTCGCATCAACCCGAGTAAGCGAGCAAGACTGATCTCATTTCTGAGCCTCACTCTAACCAGCCTCAGACTACAGTCTCTGCCAGACAGGCACTCAACAGTCACCAATCGCGCTTTCATTCGGTCTCGGCCTTGCTCTAAGCCACGTCTTAAAGTTCAACTACCCAAACAAAACCACTGGCAATTTCTACAACTGGAACTATGGGCCAGCGTTCACCGTCACGCACCCTGAAGGGGTCTACACGAATAACCCATCGTTTACTTACGATGACATGACGCTCTATCTGAAAGGCTGGCACATCCATTCCCCAGCAGACCACACCGTAAACGGCATGCGGTCCAAGGCTGAGTTGCACCTCGTACACGTGGACGAGGAGGGCCATGAGAAGGCTGTGCTGGCTATCCGCCTCGATCCGGGCAACGCCAACAGCACCTTTTTCAACCAGCTTCCAAAGATGATTGGGTTCAATGATGTGGGCATGCAGCAGGAGATTACAATCAATCACATGCCCGCTCTTGAGAGCGTCCTCCTCTTCAACGAGTTCTGGACCTATCAAGGTAGTCTGACGAGCCCGCCTTGCCACGAGGGGATCCGCTGGTTTGTGTCTCGTCAGGTCATGTTCACTGGTGTCGAGCAAATGCGTGATATTTTGGGCGCAAGCACGTACAGCGCGAGAGCTGAGCAGGAAGTCTGGCAGCATCGCATCAACGACTAGAGGGAATAATTGGATGCGCCTTGGGCTGAGGCAAGCAATGTGGCAATGAAGGCGGCGCAAATGGAGCAGGTGACGACAGGGGTGGAAGAGCAGTTGCAGTCGGTCGCGATGTCTCGCCTGTCGTGATGATCGACGCTTTTTCCTTGTGTTCTCTCAATATCTCCGCTAGCATCAGATACCATCTAGATCTCCTATCTCAAGTTGAACACAAAAGGACGTTTCAAAACAGACTGTCGGTATTGACGTGCGGTCAATTTGAGCTTAATTTCTCCTCCAGATGCTAAAACTTCTCCACTACCTTAGCGGAAACAGGCGGAATCGCCTTTCCCCTGGGCGGTGTCCACCTCGGCCGCTCCCTCGAGACCGGAGCTGAGGCTGACCCCGAAACAGCGAGAAGATCACTGCCGGTCATGAGTCGCGGCGACCCCGACAATTCATCTCGTCGTGAACCTTCTTGGATGCCAAGACCACAGTCTCATTTCTTCCTTTTTGCCCAGCCCCAGTCACACCACTCCACCCCTCGTAACGTCATGATGGTGTGAATCCGCGCAACTGTCTCCGGCCCAACCTTCTTCTCCCAATCTGCCGTTCGTCGGCCGGGCTTCCACGGCAGGGTTGAGCTTCGTAACACCAGCGAACCCCGCCCGTGTCGAAGAGCTACCAACCCGGCCGGCAGCAGATAAGTCTAAAAGCTTGCGCGTGCGTGTAAGCCGGTGTATCCCCCCATCACACACCACCGAGCCAATCCCCAACAGCCGATAAACCGAACGCGGATAAGCGTCTTGTTTCAAGTTGAGCAGACTTCTGCGGATTGGGCGAATTGGAAAGAAACGCATCTCCCCACAGGTCGGGTGGTGATCATTTCAACACAGCCCTGCTCAGCGCAATCACCGTGGCTGAGATCCCGGGCCGGGGTTGCTTGGCCGTTGGGACGAACCATCGCTGTTGGCTCGTTCCCTGATCCGCCCTGGCTTGGCAGATGCAGCTCTATATAATTAGCCCTGCCCAGCAATGATAGACCCATCAACTGGTGGATTTCGAGCGATAAGGTGGAGTTGTGATGGCGCAGAATTTTGCAGACGAGTTGGGAGTGAATTGATTGACACGGGACAGGACGGGAATTGTTGTTGACGTAGGTATTTCGTTGAATAGATCGGCAGGGCCGCGTGGTCTCCTCCGCGGCGGCTCTTGTCTTCCCCGCGTGATCTTCTCCGTTTCTCGACCACAAATGTGAGCGATCCTGCTCTTCTCCAGTCCGTTCCGGCGCGTGAGATTTTGATCCCAGTAAGAGGAAAACCCAATTCGGACGTCCGCTGCCAATCTCGATGCGTTCCGACACCGCTTACGCTGTCGGCCTTTTGGCCGGCCTCATCACCACTGCCGCCGCCCGGCCCGACCTTAGGTACCAACAGATTCGACGACAGAACGCTCAGGATTGTTTGGAGGACTTGGAGGATATCTTGGATGACGCGCCGACAACATCGCTATGGCCTGCGACAGCATGCGACTTCACATCGACCCTCTCAGGGGCTGAGCTCACAACCAGCTATGCGTCGTTCAGGAGTAAGATGGCCTCCTGGTACAGCAATGACTTGGACGACATTACCAAGCTTGAGAGTAGCTGCACGCAATATGTATCGGTATTCGACTCGATTCGATATTGTTATGTGACGGGGCCGTATCCAACAGAGTCCTCGTCAACAACATCGGCATCGGCAACGGCAACGGCGGCAACCACCACAGCAGGATCGTCGACGGCTAGCAGGACCTCAACAGGAGCTACGAACACATCAACAACAAGTGCGACATCAACTTCAACGCCGGATGATGGGGGAGGTCTAGATCCTGGCGCGAAAGCTGGTCTTGCCATTGGCATCGTCCTAGCCGTCGTCCTCATACTCTTCATCTGCTGGAAGTTCTTCCAGAGATACCGATCAAGCAGGTTAGATGGAGCCGGGGAGCATCCCATGAAGGGGGACGTCGAACCTCAGATGCATTCGGCCGCAGCGATTGGCACGGCTGGCGCAGCTGGGGCCGGTGCCGGCGCTGCTATGGCGGCGGCGGCAGCCCGGACGAAATTGGCACCGCCGGAAAACTCAGTATATGCGTTCAAGTCGGAGCTGAGCGGCGACTCGCGGCCGGTCTCGGAGCTTGACCCGGCGGCTGCCGTGTCTGCTAGACCATCCGACCCGCCCCGGCACATCGCCGAGCTCGATCCGGAGCCACCTACTCAATTAAGTGAGCTACCGGCCGATAACTACGACCCGACGGCGAACAATTCGCCCCCGCCAGCATACGTCTCTCCAATGCCCGACGGCTCCAACCGAAACACCCTCGACACAGCTGTATCGCCGCTTTCTCCAGACTCGAGCACAATTCAGGGACAGGGATTGGGAATAACAACTGGCGAAGAGATATCTCAAGGGTCCAGCAATAGCTCTGGAAACGCCCCCTTGGTGCCACAGACACAAAATGACACAGTACAACATGGATGGGGTCGAGGTTGGCTTCGCAGGGAATGAGAAGAAGAGGGACAGTAAAGAATAATGCCCAGTGGATGCAGTAAAAATGATTTGAGGACAACACACGATTTGAGAAGGGCTTGTCGGCCATCGCTCACAGAATGCCTTCCGCGCGGTTGACCAGGAGTAATCCGAGATGGAAGAAGCTGAAGCCATTCCAACATTGGAGATGGATGGGACTTGCCATGATGTGTCGCTGCGACACCAACCACTATTAGTAGATACCCTTCGAACAGTTGAAACTTCAAGAGCCATCCGCTCAATGTATACTTATCTGGCTTTGATCAAGATGTGTGCGTTTCACAAACTGGTCTGGCTCATGCACAATATTGCTTGGTTTCATTGCCCTTTTCACAGTAGCGATTGTTCTTGCATCGGGCCATGAGATAACTTAAAGAGTGCTGCACGAGGTGAGAGGATACGACCCTACATGCGACAAATCGCATGGTCAATCTGGGTCGAAAGGCCATCCGCCTTTTGGGGACTTTCAGCGCTGTGCAATCTCATTGGCTCTTTGTTTTGATTCCAAACATGTCCGAACTATGAGAGATTGGGGGCCATTCCTAACAACGTCCGTCTGCGAGCAATGCTAGACAGGTCTCACCTAAATGCTCTGCCTCATCGCCAAGACACATTCTCTTCCCAAAAGAACGCGCCAACATGTCATTCACGAATGCCCAGCAACAGTCTGTCTAATTTACTCTTGGTAGGGAGATAAGCTAGTTCGTAGCTGCCTCTTGGCTCTCCAAGGAACTACTTCGGATGCGAAGGCCTCCGTTATTTGCCCAGTACGCCAGCGAAAGTATTTGCAGCTTGCAGCATCATAGTCCGGAGAAAAGAAGACATGATCATCTACCCGGCCTAACGTTTGTTTCTTCTTTTCCATCCAATGGGCCATGTTCAATGTGCCCATTTTTGTTAATCAGGCTTCGGCACATCACCGTTGGACTGGGGGCCAAGCAACCGCCAAGGAGCTTGTCCAATATTTGGCGCTACCGGACAAACCTAGACAAGACACAACAACTCCCAATTTTTCTCGGTACAAGTCGCTTCCGCTGCCGAACCCCAACTGATCGGCGGTGTCATGACCGTAACCCCAGCACGGCGACGCGCGCGTCCCCGGATCGGGGGACCAGCAATGTTGCCAAGGGGCCCCGAACCATTGCCGGCCAGATTTCCAAGCAAGGTAGGAACTTCGCAAGCCTCTTGGCCCATTCATCACGACGGTTTCTCAAGGCCACAGCACCGGAGTTCAGTCCTGGATGATGTCGACCCGTTCCATAGCCCCTTGGCTCAACCAACATATCATCAGAGGCGGCATGTTTAGCTTGTGACGATCTTGGAATTTGGCGGAGGTATGGGATTCCGAGATGCGGTTGTTGCGGACTTCACCAACATCGAAACCGAGTATATAGAGTACAATTGTCTCCATCGTTGAATCAGGTTTCAATTGGAATCACACAGCATCACACTCTAATACCTTATTGTACCTTAATCCCATCACTTATCATTTATCTGCATTTCCCACCGAACATTCAATCCCAATTTCGTCACTCTCTGTACTCGAGTTCTTACAAATATCAACAAAATGAAGTTCGCTCTTGTTCCCGTGGTCCTGGCTGCCGCCGTTGCCGCCACCCCGATCAAGATCATTGAGGATGTCACCCACATCATCGGCTGGCACAAGAAGGGTTCTGGAAACAAGCAGGGCTGGGGCTCCTCCGGTCCCTTCCACTTCACCTCAACCTACCACATCGTCGCTACCCCCGACCAGGTCGTCGACAACAACAACACCGCTACCGGCGGTCTGGCCGGCGCCATCGGCTACTTCAACTACGGCATCAACTCCCAGGAGGATGTCATCTGCTACAACATCACCCTGGTGAACTTCCAGGGCGAGTACCAATCGCCTGCCTTGACAGCCACCCACATCCACGAGGCTGCAAAGGGCCGTGCCGGTCCTCCTCGGTAAGCTTGACGCCAGGACTGGTCCTTAGGGGTTAGTGACTGACTAGGATGTTTTAGTATCTCATTCCCCAACCCTCAGCCTGTTGAGGGCACCGAGAATGTCCGCCGCAGCATCGGCTGCTTGTCCGGACCCTTCCGCACTGGCGTCAACGCCACCGGTACCCAGACCGACAACGGTGAAGGGTTTGAGGTCCGCCAGATCGAAGAGAACCCGGCCATGTTCTTCACCGATGTCCACTCTAGCCTTGCTGTCCCGGGTGCTGTTCGTGGCCAGCTCAGCGACGGTGCCTACCGCAACTGCGACTAAGCTGCTGCGATGTAGTAAAGAGTCTTGGATCCTTTGTTTTCTTCGTATCGTGTTGATATAGACCCTTGGCATGATATCTTTTATTAATATACCACTACACATATTTCCGACAATCCGGTACCGTATTTTGAAAGAATCGTGAAGGCAATCACATAGTTGTTTGCGAGAGGACCAGACCATTGCGACGATCGTCTAATCGAATGGCGATTGAAAGGTTGCAAGGCAAGCTTCTTAGCTTCAATTACCGATCCAAGCCATATTCGACTCTAGATCTTGACCAGTTGGGATTGGACTCGCCCCGACATAGGTCGTCGTCTTACATGTATTTGTTCTTGTCTGCACTAAGCTACCGAATCCAATACAGTTAAGCAGGAGTATTACACTGACACCAGCCCTCCTAATAATCCTACGCTGAGCACCGCAGAGCACAGGTCTGTCACAGTTTCTCAAATCACACGCCAGAGATCTCCTCGTTGAGGTGGACACGGCCCTTCGAAATTAAACCAACCAGACATGGGATTTCACGCAAAGGATTATTCAGCGATGAAATTCGATATCCGAAATGAAGTATTAACAAAAACCTGGACTCATTTCTCAGTTGATTCTGAGTCGCTGTTCGCAAGGCATTTGGCAGTCCTGCTGTCATTACAGATATTGCCTTTCATGGACTAAGGTTGATAATTATAGCTTCCCCTCCCTTCTTCTCCCCATTCCACAAACGCTCCAAACACAACGCCTCTATGCACGTCCGGCAGCGCCGCCATTTGCTTGAGGAAGAAATACTGCGAACTCCCCATTCATGTTCGCCACCTTGAGTGTCAACTCATTTTCTTCGGCCTCAAATTCCAGCTCTCCCAGTGCTGGGTCGATGATGAACGCGTTTGCCTCAGGGAACAGGCGGCCGATCTGGCCTTTGCTAATGTCCAGCTTGTCTAAAGCTGTGTCAGCTTCGCTTATTGCAGACATCCAAGGCCTTCAAAAGCTTACTCCCGGGATTCAAAATGTAGTCAATCTTGGATAATGTCATGCCTTGTGCTCCCTCTGCCAGGTTCACTTTGAATGATACTGCTTCCACTGCCGTGAACCCTGCCGGAGGGGGTGCGGGCGCTCGGTTCTCGGTGACTGTGAGGGTTCGTCCGATGGCGTTTTGGAACTCGACTTCGAAGCGACCGTTTTTCTTATTTGTACATCAGCTTGTGTGTTTTCATTCTCATATTAAGGCGCAACTCACTCCTGGTGGGAAGAGGACGTCTTGCTTTACGCCTGCGCCGCCCAATCGAACTGGGACATTGAACGCTCCTTCAATTTCCTTCTCGTTTTCCTTTTTCTCGCCCTCGCCTCCTGCCCCGGCTTCCCCACCGGCTGCAGTTTCGTTCTCTGCAGCCCCTTTAGGAGTCTTCGCTGAGCCTGCTGCAGGTATCCTCTTGAAAAGGTTTCCTTCTGTTGTAGCCTCCTCGCCTCGGGATAGAACACTGATGGTCGACGTCGTTGAGATTGGCAATGATGTGGCGACAAGAAGTTGTGTCGAGAAGAGAAATGCCCGTGATAACCTCATGTTGGAATCCTAGATGAGATTGCTGCAGAAAAGAATTTGGGTGTACAAAACACCGACGCTGTTGGTTGAGTTGGCTTAGAAAGGGCGGGGAGCTTCTGCAATTACAAAGGAAATCGTACAAAGTAAGGATAAAATGGGCAACAATGAAATGTGGCTAAGTGAAAGATGCAGCGTGTTATATGCCCAGACGAACGCTTTTCCAGCAAAGTCCGCGTGGACAACTTTGTGAAAGCGTAGCTGGGAGGGAACAGCCCGCCAAGAGCAACGGCATCATGAAACCCACATGGGACTACAAGGATGAGGCCCTTTCCCCACCATCCGTGGCGCCAAGCGCGCCAAGAACCACTGAGGAGAGAACAAGCGCTTCGAGAGCCTCATCGAGCGCCTAATGTGGAAATTCGGGGCTTGATATGACTGCAGGAGGCGGCTGGTCAGGTCAGTTTTACTCGAGATCCGGCATTGGCACAGCTTGGCGGTATGGCAACTCGTCTCTACTTGACATTTCCGGACGCGGCTCATCATGCGGAGAAGTTTGTCACCAGATTTGGAAGACATGAGTGTTTTTCTTGCGAACTCGCATCCGTACGCAGTCCAGCGCGGCGACGATGTCATTCAAGATTGTGGTCTTCCCATTTCGCTGACTACCTATGTCGCAGTCGCGGATAGCGGAGGCACAATAGAGATTTAAGCTTAACGTTATTCGTCACCTGTCATCAGTGATGTCGCTGGTCGCCGTTATCTGATCCAGCCAGCGGCTGCACCTCCTTGGAAAACTTTTCCCCGCGAACCAGCACCAAATTTCGGTTGAATTTGAGAAGGGGAATCCGATCCCTCCTGTGAGTCTCAGATGACAGCTGTCGTAGGCTAAACTTAGACTCTCAAACGTGGTTCCTCAGACTGTCAAATCAGCACTCAGGTAATCCCTGTGCTCCGAACCCTTGTCACCACCTCCACAAGCCTTCCGAGCTCATGGGCCTCGAGCATGCGACCAATTGCTCCGTTCGGGGGCCGTTCTGGCCAACACCTGTCGGTTCAACCTTCTCTTTGCTGAAACACGGACCACATCGCCATGAGCAGCCGAGCCAACCCCGTAGTTGATTCACGCAGGGGTTTGGACTTCACTTCCCTCGTCTACAAAGAGTATCACACAGCAAAAAGAGGTTTACGTCAATCTCAAGTGATTGAGGGCCCTGTCTGTACCTTGCTCAGCAATCCGGTGGCTACTCAAGTCTCCGTGTCGCAATTGCAAAATTGATGTCATGAATCATGACCTCGACGACGGCCGGCGGCATTGCGTTCGCCTTGGCAATCAGCCCAGTTTGACTCGCCCCTCACATTCGGCGAAATCATCAGCAGCAAAGCTCCGGCAATCTGAACAGGCTTGTACCCAGACCAAAAGGGCGGAAAGCACGCCCTTTCCGCATTGTCCCATGAGGCTTTTCAGCGCTCGTGCTAGCATCTTCCTTGACATCAGAGCAAAGCTGTATTTTTGGCTCAGAATTAACACGATGACGATTGCGATTGATAAGAACGGAAGAATACCCATATTCACGTAAGTCGGTGGAGCAGTTTCGGAGCCGACGACTCCGGCCCTATGGGATTTAGCGGGGCGCGGACGGCAAACCCGGAGCGAAGTGCGGGGTCTCGGACCCGCTTACAGTGAACCAAGTACCCTATTCTCCTTCCTTATCAGTCAGTCCGACTTCGTCCAACGTCATCTAGTGCCCCTCACTTGTCTCACGCGAAGGTGAGTCACAGTCTTTTCAAGTCGCGGAAATATCTCCGAACTTTCTTTCCAAGCGTTCAAGCACCGCCATTGCGTACAGTTCTCAGAAATGGTGACCAAAAGAGTGGCGCGATACGGTGACTGGGACAGCCCCATCACGGCCGATACAGTCACCTCCAAGAGCTGGTCCGTCACCTCGCCCCGTGTTCATGTAAGCCTCGTGAATCAATGGCCATCGCCCTTTCTGACGTTATCTGTAGCGTGCATCCGGTCGCGCGTACTTCAACGAGTCCAAGGAAGATGGTCGCAATGGCGTTGTCGAAATCACCAGCGACGGACCCAAGGACGTGCTCCCAGCACCCTGGAGCGCCCACAACTCCGTCTACGAGTACGGTGGCTCTCCATACGATGTACTCTTCGACGGACGTATCATCTTCTCCAATAGTGGTGGTGATACCACCGGTGTTAACGTGCTGGATCCGGATTCTGGGGAAGTGAAACTAGTCACAGCGGGTCCTAACCTCCGATATTCCAACTTCAGCGCGAGCCCGACGACCTCTTGGGTGGTGGCCATTGAGGAAGACCACACGATAAACACGCCACGAGAAGTGAAGAACTACATCGTCGCCATCAATGCAGACACCGGAGAGACAAGGAGAATCGTGCAGGGCGCCGACTTCTACTATACACCTCAGTTTAGCGAGGACGGTGCAAGGCTGGTTTGGATGGAGTGGGACCAACCCAATCTTCCATTTTCTGCAAGCAAAGTTTTTGTAGCTGACTGGAGCCCGTCTGCTACCGTCGAGAACGTGACCCAAGTTGCAGGCAAGAACCGCGAGGGCGCTGCCGAGCCCAGATGGGGTTTGGATGGAAGCTTGTTTGTGTGCATTGAGACTGGTGGATTCCGTCAACTTCACCGCATTGCCCCTGGTCAAGTACAGCCCTCGCAGGTCAAGCTTAAAGACCTCGAGAATGCCGAATTTGGTGAGATTCGATGGTTTCAAGGAAGGTTCGTTACAGAAGAGCATCCATGAGAAAATGGGTATCGTCTAACAAGCTTTTAGTCACACATATGCCCCATTGTCTGATCGATATGTTGTAGCAGCAGGCATCTTATTTGGCGAGGCAAAGCTCATTCTCATTGATCTCGAGACGAATGACTGGAAGCCTATCGGGCCACCCGGCCTCTGTGCCATTGCGTTCGATTCAGTCGCAAGGTTGAATGATAACACAGTGCTGGTTATCGGAGAACAGAAAGCCTCCCCTTCGGCTCTCTACAAGGTTGATGCGTTGAGTGGAGAGGTTACCGCCGTAAGACGAACTTCTGATGCCGATCTGGACGAAGGGCTCTTCTCGAAGCCCGAACTTGTCCAGTTTCGTTCGAAAGGCTCTCCTTCCCGAATGATCTACAGCGCTCTGTGGATGCCGCGCAACCCAAAGTTCACGGCCCCAGATGACACCCTACCGCCGCTGATCATTTCGTCTCACGGCGGTCCGACCGGATATACGGGCTCTGGGCTGAAACTGCGCACTCAATACTTCACGGCTCGAGGCTATGCACTCCTTGCTCTGAACTACACCGGCTCGACTGGACACGGACGGGACTACCGTGAGGCACTCTTCCACAATTGGGGCATTGTTGACGCAGACGATGCTGCTGAGGTCGCCGACCATCTCGTGGCCGCAGGCAGAGTTGGTAAGGTCGGTATCGTCGGCGCAAGTGCGGGAGGCTACAACGTGCTGCAGGCCCTTGTGCGCCATCCACGGACCTTTGATGCGGGATTTTGTGTTTGTGGCGTCAGCGACGTCAAGAAACTTGACGAGTCTACTCACAAGCTGGAGTCAGAGTACATGGGTGCTCTAGTCCTCAATCCTGGCATGACAGATGAGCAAAAGGAAGAGAGATACAAGGAGCGAAGTCCTCTGTTTAATGCGGATAAAATCGAGTCGCCTTTGTTTCTGCTGCATGGAATCGAGGACACAGTGGTACCCATTGAGCAAGCACGTCTCATCTACCAGGCTGTCAAGGACAAGGGTGGAGATGTTCGCATCAGGGAGGTGTCTGGAGAGGGCCATATGTTTGGCAAACCGGGGAGCCCGCAAATTTGGCTGGCCGAAGAGGAGGCTTGGTGGCAGAAATACTTGTTGTAATTCTCTGGGAAGCCACTTCCGATATTGACAAGCTCGCCAAGTAGGTTTCTTCAATGTTTCAATTCTACTGGGCTCGTGACTCTAATTACTACTAGCTGATCAGAGCAATTGAAGAAAAAAGTGTGCATCCGCCTAAATATCTATCTTGACTAGATAGGTAAATGTAAAATTTGACTGAGACACGTTCCCACCAGCAAACTTTGGATTATTGGTGGTCGGTGATGAAAGTGGCAAGGCAGGCGAATGCCCCTGCCATAATCCTGAGATGATTGGCTCTATGCACTACGGAGGGTCACAGGTCTACCTTGCCATCGCTGCGCTGGCGCTTACACATCCCTTGGCTATTGAACTCACGAGTTCAGCCTGGTTCTCCTCCCACACAAACCCCCTCTTCTTTTCAAGCGTCCCTTGTCTTTGGGCTCACCCATCTGCTGTCTACAACGCCCGATATCTGACTTCGCTCTCATATCACAAACCACGAGATTTGCACGGCAAACTACCGTTAGCGTTGGGGATCGCCGCGAGAACACCTTCGTACTGTCATGAATTCCGAAAAAAGAAAACGAGACCAAGATGAAGCGGCCATCGAAAAGGAGGCGAAGCAGGCAGCACTATCGCACGAGGCCTACTCTGTAGGCTGGGTATGCGCCCTCTCCAAGGAGCAAACTGCCGCGATTGCAATGCTCGACCAACGCCATCCTAATATTCCCAACATGCAGCCCCCGACCGACACAAATGCGTACACCCTTGGATCGATAGGTGGTCACAACATCGTGATAGCCTGCTTGCCCAAAGGCCAAATTGGCGTTGTCTCGGCAGCGACTGTAGCCACGAACATGGTGTCGACTTTCCCGTCCATCAAGATTGGGCTCATGGTGGGGATTGGTGGCGGCATTCCATCCAACAAGGTCAGACTCGGCGATGTTGTTGTAAGCACTCCTACAGGAACACACCCAGGGGTGGTGCAGTGGGATCTTGGGAAGGCGAAAGAGGGCGGCAATTTCGAACGAACAGGATCTCTCAATAACCCGCCCACTTTCCTACTGACAGCATTGACGAAGTTGGAAACTGCGCACGAAATGCAAGAATCAAAATTCGACGAATATTTAGAAGAGCTCGGGAGCAAATTTCCCAAATTGGCTTCGAGATACTTGCGGTCTGAAGCTCTCCGAGATGTTCTATTCAAGGCAGACTGCGTTCATGTGGATATGGACGATACATCCTCCTCCGACGAAGATGAAGCCGATGCCTGTCGGCGTTGCGACAAGACGATGGCTAAGGAGAGAAAGTTGAGAGACCCCCGTATTCATTACGGATTGATTGCGTCTGGGAACCAAGTTATCAAGGACGGTATGTTCCGGGATAAGCTCAATAAGGATTTCGGTAATCATGTTCTCTGTGTAGAGATGGAAGCAGCCGGGCTGATGACGAACTTTCCTTGTATTGTCATACGAGGAATTTGTGACTACGCGGACAGTCACAAGGACAGACAGTGGCAGGAGCATGCGGCTGCCGTGGCAGCGGCATGTGCCAAGGAGCTTCTGGCTCAAATAGAGCCCGGGTCGGTTCAAGCAGAACGATCGGCGCGACATATCCTCAACGATAGTAAGTAGATAACGTACAGCTTTTCATGAAACTATTCATTGGACGAATCACTCATACTTCCAATAGTTCGACACAACGTCCTATCAACTGCGTCTCATGTAGAAGGCATTCACAGGCATTTACTTAAGGAGGAAGATATTAAGATACTCGACTGGCTCACACCTACCGATTACGGAAAACAAAACAGCGATTTCTTTTCGAGACGCCATCCAGGGACCGGCCAGTGGTTTCTCAACTCCAAGCCTTTTAAGACCTGGCTGGCTTCTCAGGGCAAAACGCTCTTCTGCCCAGGCATCCCTGGGTCTGGTAAAACAATAATCGCATCTGTTGTGGTGAATTTTCTCAGGGATGTGTATCAAAGTCAAACCATTGGTTTGGCTTACATCTACTGCAACTATCAAAGACAGAATGAGCAGGATCTGCGTTCATTCTTGGCCAGCATTCTAAAACAGCTTTCCCAGACGCTCTCTACCCTGCCTCAGTGTATCAGAAGACTCTACGACGAGCATGCAGACTCTAAAGAAGACCCACCCATTGGGAAGTTGATTGATGCTATAGTTATGGTTTCAAAATCAATTCTCAACGTCTTTGTCGTCGTCGACGCACTTGACGAGTGTCGAACATCGGATGACTGTAGGTCATGTTTCACATCCCATCTCTCGAGAATCCAGGTGGAGGCAGACATCAATATTATGTACACGTCACGACATGTGTTTGAAATTGAGACCTTATTCGATACCTGTCTGCGACAGAGGATAAGCGCGAAGAGCGACGATGTTGGCATGTTCATCGACAGTCGGTTACAAAATCTCCTGGAACGCGTACAAGGGGGCAGTCAGCTCGGAAAGACCATAAAGTCTGCAGTAATAGGGCTTGTGGACGGAATGTACGTATTCCCACCTTGATCCAACCCTTGATTGTGTCAACTAACCCAGCTTCCCAGGTTTCTCCTCGCACACCTTTATTTGGATGTTCTGCACGACACAACAAGCGTGGCAGAAGTGCGCAAGGCGTTGAAGCAGCTACAATATCGAAACTCAAAGTCAGACAGAGATGATGAGAAACGCCATATCCTGGAGCAAGCATACGACCAAGCTATGGAAAGAATCAAGATGCAGAAACCAAACTTCCGGAATCTAGGTATAAGAACTCTTGCCTGGGTAACATTCGCAGAGCGACCTCTTACCAAGAATGAACTCCAGCATGCCCTTGCTATAGAGGAAACAGACACCAAATTCGACCATGAAAACGTGAGGACGATTGAACTGATTCTGTCTGCATGTGCTGGACTAGTCACAATTGACGAACAAAGCAACGCAGTTCGTTTAGCCCATTTCACCACACAAGAGTATTTCGTGGCAAAGCAGAACGAACACTTTACAAGTGCTCAACGGGATATCACGTCCATTTGCGTGACTTATTTGCGTTTTGAAGGGCTCTGGAGGCACTTATTTGACAAATATGCAGAGAATGTTATAAAACTCTTCGACCACCTAGCCAACCACTCAGAAGGTTCTGTCAAAAGTCGATGGGAGGACTTACTCGGAAACCACTCAAAGACGTGTGCGGCTCCAATTTGTCAGTTGTGGCCGTATGCTGTCAGTAAATGGGGCTACCATGCATGCAAATCTTTGCATGTATTGCCGCATTTCATCGACCCCTCTACCAAAGGCAAATGTGTTACTTACATATGGGCATCTAGCAAAGGTTACAGATATGGATCAACCTGGAAATCTTTGCCTGAACATGTCCTCGGTGCTTTGGAATTGCACACAACGGATCGTCCAAGACCAACAGCCCAAGGTCCTGAGTTCAAGAATTTCCGGACTCCCCGAATGACCAGACGCGACCAAATGGAATATGGCATTCATGAGACCATTGAGTTCATCGAAGACAGAGCAAACATGAATGTTTGCAAGTTGAACGAGAGTGGAAAGTGTGCATTGACACGTGGGAGCTACATTGACAACGTAACTTGGGCAGCAGAACTCTCGAAGAAATGGCCGCCGAGGGAGAAGGACAATTTCTGCCCTAATATCCAAACAATAAGCGTTACATTTGCAATGGAGGATTCTCCAGTCGTTCTTCGATTTGGCGACTCGAAAAGTAATTGCGAAAGTGTTTCGGCTTTTCCAGTGTCAACAGCGAGGATGCACCAGCAGCTGCAACAGTGGCCTTGAAGGTTGTGGCACAAGACATAATCCATGTACATCAGAAGAAGAGGAAACGGCCACTCAGACAGGGTACCTGTTATCTTCAGATATCGTCTAAGCAAAACAGCATCAGAAAGAAGCAACATCATCTCTGCGCATCATAAGTCAAATCATTCGGGAACTTACGATTCATACAACGTTGTCGTTAACTCATGCAATTCAACTAGCCCTATGAAGCCTTGCTGCTCTCACCCTTCTCACCACCCTTGACCTTCTCATCATCTCCGTCATCCTCAATCTCAACCGTCGCCGCCGCTCCCTCCAAACCCTCCTGATTGCCGCTCTCCAGACCTCCAGACTGCGCCAGGAACCAATCCGCAACCTCCCTCTTGCCGTTGAAAAGCGCCGAGTCAAGCGGAATCTGGTCCTTGTCGTTCGCAATCGCAGGCGACGCGCCGTTCTCAACAAGCAGCTTGACTACCTCGAGGTGGCCGCCCAGACACGCCCAGTGCAGGCCCGTGTTGCCAAACTCGTTGGCGGCGTCGACGTACGCCTTCTTCTCGTCAGCGGGGCGGGGCTCGAAGGCCTCGATCAGCGCCTTAACGACGTCTGCAACGTATGTTAGCAACCGTATCGGAATCTTCGGCGTCAAAAATGGTGAGCGCAGGGGTTTTCGGGGGCGAAAGCTACCGATGTGGCCGTTGCCCGCGGCCATGTGTAGGCAGGTGTTCTTGCCCTCATCCTTGGCGGCTGTGATGACCTCGCCGACGGACGCGGCCTCGCGCTCCGACAGGGCCTTGAGGGTCTCCTGCAGGTCGGCGAGCTCGCCGGCGCGGGAGAAGTAGATCAGGTCGTCGATCTCCTCTTCTGATAGTTTTGGCGCCATTTTTGATTGAGATTGTCCGGGGTCTGGGCTTCTGGCGTCGCAAAGTGAGTCTTGAGAGGTGAAGTAGAAATTTTTGAGTGATGGTGGGTGGAAACACGGTGCGTAAATCATAGTGCGTACTCTACACTGTGCGCTGCCGCCTCCTCGGCGGGATGAACCATGCGCCAGTCTAAATGACGACCATCAACATTGAAAACAAAAGCAAAACCCCCAGAAAACCAGACGCCGCGCTGCCGAAGTCAAACTCTCGCCATATGTACATCCAGCCAGTTTGAAATGTCACCGGCATCATCCACCGCTTGTATCTCTGCCTTGACGTTCAAAAATAGCATGATCTGCAGTTCCCTTCGACACTCGATGTTGTACTCGTCAAAGTCGGCAGATATATTTCTCAGCAAGGTTTTCGCAATCTTTCGGTCTCTTTCTTTGAGTGCATCGGTTGCATCGAAGCTGCTTTCAGATTGCTGTTGCCTGGAAAAGGCAGAATCGTCGTCGACCTCCAGATCCCGGCGACCAAGAAGATCATCGCTCTTGATTCCAAGCCACTGCATGCTTGGAACAGTGACTCCGACTTCATGAGCATGGCCTCGGGATCCATGGCTGTAACAGCGCATGATATTGACGCCATACGGATCAAAGTCAACAAGGCCGTAGATGGGGATTTCTGGCTTGGCCGAGTGAAGTAGGTGAAGGAATTGCTTCGTTTGTAGATCGGGAACGCCCTTTCCCTGATAATGATGTTAGAATGGCATCAAATACCACGAATCAAAGCGAACATGCCGTAATTAGAATACCTTGCCCGGCAGATGACGTGTCCTAGTAGCGTGCAGCAGCGAGAGTTCGGAAGGTGGCCTACGCTGGTCAGCATGCCATCTTGACCAGGGATCTTGCAAGGACTTGCATCTTTCTCGACTACGAGCACCCACTCAGCATGCTGAAAATCGATTTTCGAGATGTTTCTCGTCGTCGGGATTGTGACTCCCTGGCTTGCATTAGATGGATTACGGTCCATGACGAGGATGAGACTTACAGTATCGCTCGCAGAGGCGCTCACACTAGACGAGTCTCTCATATGCAAAGTAATTGGTCCTGACAAAAGCCCTTTGGCACTGGCAACCTAAGAGGGGGTAAGCCTTGGTTAGGTATGGGGAGGGGGGTACTGACAATATTCAAGTCATCCCGCCCCATTCCCAAGGTGTGACTAATGTCGTCGACCAGGCCATCGACAATTGCTTGAGTCTTGAAGAGATCGGGACATTGGTAGAACAAGTTCCTGTGATCTCTCGCCTTCAGCAACCAGGCCTTGAGACAAGGGAGGCTAGATAATTACAGACCTCTTGGTGACCGGATTCCCAGACAGGAGGGAGCTGTGAGATAGGTGGATGATCTTCAACACCTGGGCTGGTAGGGCTCGTCAGCCAAAGACCCAACAGTGGAGATTCAGACTCGGATACCGAATTTGATGCTCTCGTTCTCAGTCCGGCCAGGAAATTGGAGGACGGAAGGCGCGGATCGAGAGCGGGTTGCGCGGGCTGCGCTAGGAGGGTTCCTCCGAGACCCTGGACGGGTTTTGTAGGGCACACGGAGGACTTCCTTGTTCTCGAGTGATTGGTAGACAGAGATGAGTATCTCCTGCAGCTTTGCGATGGCTATGCCGACAACATTGTTGTCTGGGTCTGGATCCGGTATGTCGACGATGGGGCTGGACTGGTAAGCAGGCTGTCGGGTTAGTTGGCCACGACGACCAGTCATGTGGAGTGTAGCATTGTCCATTTGGTCAACGAAGACTGCCTGACTTGAGCTGTACCTCAACGAACCTCCCGCAACTTTGAGGGCGGACGCCAGACCGTCATGGATGTTGGTGCATCACGATACGAATTCCCCCAAATGGCGGGGAGCCCATCGCAGCTGAAAGACAACGAAACCCGCCCCACCTCTTCAGCGATTGGCCAATGGGATGACGCCCGCCGGCACCCTCACCGTCACAGAAGGAAGGCACCGCACACCGAAGGGCCTGAGCATCGGTGGCTTCCTTCCCTGGTGGTGTGAAGTCAACCGGCAGATCGCCCCGACGAAACAAAAAAACGACACTGGACGGGACCGTGGGCTGGTTCGTGCCCACAGAGGCTTCAGGCACCCGAAGCCGCTGAAGCTTATCCCAAAGGGCCCCCTGGTGCCGCCCGCAACATGGCACCTGTCAAAAACGCTTAAGCGTAGCCGTTTACGTTAGGTTGGAGTTGCATGTGTCCATGATCTGCAAATTGGCGATGTACATGATCAAAAGTCAATTGCAGAGACGAACAGATCGAATTTTTTTGAATTGGATATTGCCTTGGCGTCCCCCTAGAAGCAGTTGATTGAGTGCTGACCTGCTTTCCCAGTGATCCAATGGGGGGAATACCCCTGAGCGCTCTGGTAGGTGCCCCCTGTGCTGATTAAATCATGATTGGAGCAGGGGTGTCGTACGAGGATGTGGTGGGTTATCGCCGAGCACATGCATCTTATCGTCTGGTCACTTTTTTTCTGGACACCGCCTCAGAGAGACACGCAGGGGACCGCGCTCTGTGTGCTGACTGGGCCGCTGTTTAATAAGTGCATGAACGCCCACCGTCACCAAGGTGCCTCTCGCCTTCCGCCCCCCTTCCGTGCTCACGACACCTTTCTCTCGACCCTCGGACCTTCACACTGCTTTCCCAGAGGTTCGAATCACCGCCAAAATGGTCGTCGAGAAGAAAGCGCCCTCTGTGGCCTCGAGCAACGGCACCAGCCTCAAGCCTATCCAGTCCCGCAAGCGTGTCGCGGAGGCCATCGCAGAGCAGGAATGGCCCAAGAGACCCCGCATCGAGGCCAAGACGGATCGCACTAAGTGGCGCATGAAGGACGAGGACGGTCGCCATATCTGGAAGTATCTCGAGGACGACGAAGCCTCCAAGGAGTGGCCGCAGACTGCCGCCGACAAGTACTTCTTGGGTCTCCCCACTGTCAGTAGAGCCCCTCACGCGACATGCGCCAAGTGCACCACTAACCTGTTGTACTTGTATAGGACCTCCCAGTCCTCCCCGAACCCAAAAATCCCCTCGAAGCTACCCTCAATGGTCTTGAATACGTCGAAAAGCTCCAACTGCCCTTTGGCGACTGGGGTTGTGAATACGGTGGCCCCATGTTCCTCCTCCCGAGTACCGTCATTGCGCTCTACGTCACCAAGTCGCCCATCTCTTCTGCGAAGGCGACCGAGATCAAGAACTACCTCTTTGCGCGCGCGCACCCTGAGTTGGGCGGATGGGGTCTTCACACCGAAGGCATCAGCACTGTGTTTGGTACCTCCCTGAACTACACCACTTTGCGACTACTTGGAGTTGACGCGGAGGAACCTGTCATGGTGAAGGCTAGAGCGAGACTCCACGAGCTCGGCGGCGCGACCCAAGGACCTCACTGGTCCAAGTGGTGGCTTGCCGTCCTCGGTGTCGTCGACTGGGAGATTGTCAACCCCGTACCCCCCGAGATCTGGCTGTTGCCCAACTGGGTGCCCATTCACCCCTGGAGGTGGTGGGTCCACATCCGTCAGGTCTTCCTGCCCATGTCGTACATCTACTCGCGACGCTGGAGTGTCGAAGAGACGGACGTCATCCGCTCTCTCAAGAAGGAGCTGTTTGTGGAGCCCTGGGCAGCGATCAACTGGAAGACTCACCGAAACGACATCGCCCCTGTGGATAACTACCACCCCAAGTCTTGGCTCCTCAACACCGTCAACTGGCTCCTGGTCAAGGTCTGGAACCCCTATCTGCGCACCAACTACATCAAGGAGCGGGCCGAGGCGTGGACCAGTGATTTGGTCGACATGGAGGACGCCAACACCGACTACCTCGGCCTGGCGCCTGTCAACGGCCCCATGAACCATGTCGTCTGCTATATCCGCGACGGCCCCGGTGCTTACACTGTTCGCCGACACACCGAGAGACTCGAGGACTCTCTCTGGGTCAACGCCGAGGGTATGCTTGGCAACGGTACCAACGGTGTGCAATGCTGGGACACTGCATTTATGATCCAGGGCGTTGTCGCAGCCGGTCTCGAGAAGGAGGCTAGGTGGCGCCCGATGCTTGAGAAGGCTCTGGGTTTCCTCGACCGTCAGCAAATCCGCGAGAACTGCAAGGACTCGGACAAGTGCTACCGTCAGCAGCGTAAGGGTGGCTGGCCCTTCAGCAACCGTGAGCAGGGCTACGCTGTGAGTGACTGTATCTCAGAGGCACTCAAATCTGTCATCATGCTCCAGAAGACCGAGGGCTTTCCTCAGCTTCTGGACGATCAGCGCATTTTTGACGCGATTGACTGCATCTTGGTGTACCAGAACGAGACGGGTGGCGTTGGCTCTTACGAGCAGCGCCGCGGCGGTGAGTACATGGAGATGCTCAACGCCGCCGAGGTTTTCGGCCGTATCATGATCGAGTACGACTACCCCGAGTGCACGACTGCTTGCGTCACTGCGCTCTCGCTCTTCCAGAAGTACTGGCCCGATTACCGCAAGGAAGACATTAGAGTTTTCATCCACCGTGCCGTCAACTGGATTCGGTCCCACCAGAAGTTCGACGGTTCCTGGTACGGCAGCTGGGGTATCTGCTTCACGTATGCCGGCATGTTTGCGTTAGAAAGTCTGGCCAGTGTGGGCGATATCTATGAGACGAGCAAGGTATCGAGGAGGGGCTGCGACTTCCTTGTCTCGAAGCAGAGAGAGGACGGCGGTTGGTCCGAGAGCTACAAGGTAAGGATTCCACCCCGTGTGGATTAGGACTGTCGACTGACATGACTAGGCCTGCGAGACTTCGGAGTACCACGAGCACCCCAGCGGTTCTCTGGTTGTGCAGACCGCCTGGGCCTTGATCGGACTCATGGAGGCCGAGTATCCCAATATCGAACCCCTTCGCAAGGGCATCCAATTCCTCATGGACCGTCAGCAGGCCAATGGCGAGTGGCTGCAAGAGTCCATGGAGGGCGTCTTCAACAAGAGTTGCACTATCATCTACCCTAACTACAAGTTCAGCTTCTCCATCAAAGCGCTCGGCATGTTTGCGCGCAAATATCCCGACGAGAAGATTACGCCTGGCATCAGCGGCAAGGAGTAAGGGCATAAAGCATATTGCCATTTCAAGCATACCTATCTTAGAGTATTTTTAATCTTAATGAGATATATGATGACGTAGGGTTATGATGAACAAAGTTCAGGAGTTGCGATTCGCTTCTTGCTATGCAATGAGGCTGATTTTGTTGGGAGCTTTGCAGCAGTGAGTTGTGCTGTCACAGTGGCTACCGATCCATTGAAGGAGCAGTCGGTGAGGGGCAACGGCTTCGGTGAGCAAGCCACCAACGGTCTCGGTCAGAAAAAGGCGGTCGCAGCCCAGAATGCGGGGTGGCCCAAGCTTGCCGGCAGAATCGCACAGTCGGCCCCACCACAGCTTCCAGAACAGTCTGACCCCTCCGCAAGGCAACCTCACCGTTTGCTTCATCTAGCACCCTTTGGGCCCGTACCCGTTTGCTTTACCACACTTCCATTGACCCTTTTTTGTTTACACTTTTTGCCGTCGATCAAGGGACTCGTAGGCATTTAAAATCACCACGAGCCGCTTGCAATCTCTGTTTTTTTCCACACCACACATTATCCATCCGCATCCGCATCCACGAAGCAAAGCCAACCCGAACCCCGCCAAGCATGTCTGGAAGCACAGCCGCCAGCGCAGGCATGGCCGCCCTCGAAAAGCGCGACTACGACACGGCCATCGCCAAACTCACAGACGCCCTCAAGACCTCCCGCTCCCCTCTCTGGCTCGCCGCCAGATCCAAGGCCCACATTGGCAAAGGCGACTTCGCCCGCGCCCTCCGCGACGCAGACTTCTCCTACGCCGCCGCCGCTGCTCGAGGCAAGCGCGACCTCATGCGCGATGCTCAACACCGCCGTGCCGTTGCCTACATGCGCCTCGGCCGCCTCGCCGATGCCGACGCCTGCGCGATGTGGGTGCAGCGCATGGCCGAGCAGGCCGGCGTCTCGCTGTCCGACCCGGCCCTTAGGAAGCCCGAGACCGACGAGAGAGGCTTCTCCACCGCCACAAAGCAGACCATCTTGGATTACAGAACGGCTATAGAACAGAAGAAGTTGGCCCAGGGGAACAGCTACCTCGCGGATACGGCGCCTGCTGGCCTTAATGCGGCGGTTGCGTTGCGTATGCAGATTCTGGGGCAGATGGACAAGCTCCCTGCGGACGATGAGAGGAGGAAGGTGACGGCCTCTTTTGCGCCTAATGTTTCGATCGATGACTTTGAGAAGGAGGAGGCGGCGGCTGCGACCGCCAAGACTGACAAGGCTGCGGACACGGAGGCCGCAAAGGAGGATAAGGACGAGATCAAGGCCGCTGCGGCTGAGTCGGTCAGAAAGCCTGCCGTCCAGACTGACGTGCGTACGGACTTCTACCAGACCAACACCGATGTCATGGCATCCGTCTATGTCAAGAATGTCCCTAAGGACGAGTTCAAGGTTGAGTATGGAGAGAAGGAGGTGAGCAGACACTCTGGCATCCGCATCCAAACGAGAACTAACGTTTCACAGATTCGTATGAGCCACATCCCAGGCCACGAACCTTGGTACACCATCCCTCTCTACGGCCCTATCGACCCCGCCGGCAGCAAGCACAGCGTCAAGTCTGTCAAGGTCGAGTTCCAGCTGAAGAAAGCTGCCGTCCTTAAGTGGCCCAAGCTCAAAGCCGACCCCTCCGATGTGAACACCACAACCACGACGCCGGCCCCTGCCGCTCCTGCGAAGCCTGTCGAGCCCGCCCCTGCTCCCGCTGCGGGCCCATCCTACCCAACTTCATCCAAGTCCGGCGCCAAGAACTGGGACACGGTGCTGGCTGACGAGAAGGACGATGATGAGGACAAGGACATCAACCTGTTCTTCAAGAGCCTGTACAAGGGCGCGACCCCGGAGCAGCAGCGCGCTATGATGAAGAGCTTCACCGAGAGCAACGGCACCGCTCTGAGCACGGATTGGAACGACGTCAAGGACCGTACCGTTGAGACGCAGCCCCCTGAAGGAGTCGAAGCCAAGAAGTGGGAGGCTTAGGAGATGGTCTAGTGTATTGAGTGTTGGTCGGTTGTCGGGTTATTTTTCATGAAAGGGATCACGGAACGTTATCTATCAAGGCATCAGAGCTCCAAGCTCAAGGCGTGGCGTTGGTATCATCGGGTAGTCAAAAAGTAGCTTCTCTTCAGTTGAGAGTGTTTTAACATGCAAGAGACAGAATGCCATCTGTCGTTAGTCTACTTAAATATGGTATCTGGATATATCGTGATATGCTCTTAGTATGCAACTACGTTCGGCTCTCTGCATAGCGAAACTCATGCAACTTGTTCAACGTGCTTAGGAAATCCTCGTTGGCGACGTACGTGCCCTTCAACCAACGACGGCCACTCCCGGCGTCGAACTCGCGGCGCCCGTGCAGCACCCTCTGGTTGTCGAACAGGACGCACTCGCCGGGCTGCAGCTTGCGCTGGAACATGTGCGCCTCGTCCTCGAGGATTTTCTGGAACATGCGCGCGCCGCTGTGCCACTCGCGAAAGCGTGCGCGCTCCTTGTTGTTCTTGGGGATGTGGAAGGGCGCCTGGAAGGGCGGGGACCACCAGACGTCCTGGACGTGCTTCTCATCATCGGCCCACTTGAAGACGGGGCGCTCCTGGCGGTAGAAGAAGCCGTTCTTGGAGTAGTGGTAGGGGACCTTGACCTCGCCGAGGGCCCTGAGCTGCGTGGCTTGGCGCTTGCGCATCTCGCGGGCGGCGAAGAAGGCGTCGCTGAAGATGGACTCGCCGCCGGAGCACGAGTTCTCGAGGCAGTGCAGCAGCTGGATGCGGGGCGGGGACTCGAGGTAGAGCATGTCGGAGTGCAGGCCGAGGTAGGAGGAGGTGTAGGCGACGTTCTCGGCGTCGGGCTTGGAGATGACGTCCCAGGTGCGGCCGTAGAAGGTCTCCTTGAGGGCGCCGAAGGTGAGGCCGATGTCCGCGACGGCGGTTTCCGAGTGCGGCACGCCGGTGAGGAAGACGAGGCCCGTGGCGGCGAGTTCCTGGGCGCCGGCGCGGAAGGCGTCGCCGCCGGCCATCCAGTCGGCGTAGGGGATGGTGCGCAGGCGCGGGGCGAGGATGGCGTTGTCCCAGAGGAGGCGCTTGACGGGGTCCTTGGTGAAGTAGACGCGTGTCGGGGCGAAGGGGAGGGAGTGTTCGGTGGCGATGCGGGACATGCTCTGCGGGCCGGCGGCGGGGAAGACGGAGACGTGGTTTGCGGCGGCGGCGCGGGGGATGTCGTGCTGCCAGGTGATGTGGAGGGAGCCGTCGGGGTGCTTGGTGACGGTGTCGAACTTGAGGGCCTCGGGGATCTCGGCGGAGGAGAAGGACTTGTTGCCGGAGGAGGGGCTGACGCACTGCGGGCAGGGGCAGCGGTCGCGCAGGTAGATTGCGCTGAGGAGCCTGGGCTTGTTGTCGTAGTCGAAGGGGCGTTGGATCTGCATGAGGTCGTCGGAGATGAGCTCGTAGGTCCATCGTTGCGCGATGCGGCTACGCTCGCGGCGGATTGCTGTCGTGAGGGTGTTGGCGTTGCGGAGGTATGTGCGGAGGGAGCGGTCGAGGTCGGCGAGGGTGGAGGACGTTGTGAGGGGTTCGTAGGGCTCGAGGAGGTCGGATTCGGAGGAGGTGGTGGTCTCGGGAGACTCTGAAGCTTCGGAGGCGGGGGGTTCTGGCTTTTGGCGACCGAAGACCTGGCGAAGAGAAGCGACTGCGCCCTCAGCACCTTGAAGTCTCGGGGAGGTTGTGTGAATGCGCGCGGTGGGGGCGTAGGTGTAAGGACTACTGCGTGAGCTGAAGGACAGCGCAGAGGCCGGCCTCGTCGCATTGAGGGCTCGCGATGCGCGCGCCGCGGAGGAGATTGAGGTCCTCATGGCGGGTCGTCGTCACTGGTGCGTTCGAGGGAGGATGGAGGGGGGAGAGACGAGGCGAACAGCGAGCACGACGCTGCAGCTGATGAAGGATGTTGGACCTGGAGACGTTTGCACTCTAGCTGGAGGGAGATTCCATGGTCTGCTGCTGTGTCGAGAACCGAGGCGGGGTGGATGGGCGACGGGAAGAAGAAATAAGTGGACAGTGGCACGATCTGAAGAGCTACGAGCGGGCACTGGGCAGGGGTTCGCGCTGGTTCGCCCAATGTCTTGCCGAAAAGCTGCCCCGCGACGGGAGCAGCAAGTGAGACCTCAGGGGAGCTACGGGCTTTTCCAGGGAAGCTAGTTGCCGTAAGGAGGGGACGAACCTCGGTCGGAGGGCAATTCTGGGGAAACAAAGAGGCGGGGGAATGAGGCACTGTGCCATATCGAGGAGCGAGTCGCTCTGTTTTTCACATGAATTTTTACCACCTGGGCAGCGCAAGATCTAATCTTATCTTTTTCATCAGCACCGCAACTTCAGATACATACTCACCTTTTTTTCCCGCAACATTTCCCATCAACTTGTTCATTACAACTGTTCAAAGATTCACAATCAATAACACTACATAAACTAATTACACCTACAAGCTTAAATACTACTTAATGCAAATTTTCACATGCTAAAGATGTGTTTAGCTTATTAGCGACCTCATGACCTCCACTGCTCCTTCAAGCGCCACAACCGGACGACGGGAATAACATGCGGCGCAACTTAGCCTCCTTCACATGACCGCCGCTATCAATCTCTCTGTGGGAAGAAAGCGTCTGGAACGTAGAGGGCCTCAGTTTTGTTTCTCTTTGATTTCCAACTCCACTTTACGATTTCCCGTTTCATCTCTGTGAATATTTGTTTAGCGACTGTCGCGGCTACACCTCATCTAACGTGCAGGGATGACAAACACACTATATAAACAGGTCTTTCTGGTGCTTTTGTGTCTACGCGGTTTCATTCCGTCTACTCAATGATGAGCACAATTCCAGTGTCCGATTGAAGACAACAGTGGATAGACGTAGCGATGATGGTGATGCTAATAAACCTAACAACGGCAGTAATGACGACGCTAATAGAAATAACGACGACGGCGATGACAATGATGACGACGACGACTATAGTATGATAACTACAGCGAAGCATGCCTGAGCTAACAGGAAGAATAGTTGGTCTAGCGCATAAAAGATAGGTGGTAAGCCTCTAAGAAATATAGGGACTGTGTTAGAAGAAACAGGTGAATAAGGCTCTTAATAAAGACTTATTATAGTATTAGGCTACTACTAAGCAGAGACTACTTCTATTAGACAGAATTCTTAATGCTTGCGTATCTTGCACCTAGGTAACGTCTTTAAGTCGTATAAAACTATTAAGTTTCTATTAGTCCTCCTATATAAGCTTAAACTATTAATAGATTCTTTTAGAAACGTTAGTATATAGTCTCTATTAGAGGTTATTATACTTATTAAGTATTAAATGTTATTATAAAAGTGCTTCCTATAAAGAAAATTCTAGTAATGCTAGCTAGCTTTGTTAGTCTAAGGTATTTGCTCTGTTTCTTGTGACCAACAGGCGATTCCGAATCTTGGATGGAACCAGGCGGCCTATTAATTTGACAAGCCTGTCTCGAGTTCTGTTCTCCCCATGTGCCACCGTCCTATTCGCACCGGAAGACTTCTGCGTTCCTCTGGTACTACCGTCAGAGGTTTGACTGTTTTGTTGCTCATGATTGTCCGACCTGTCAACGACAACAAGCTGTGATTGGGGTGATGCTTGGGGATTCTCTTCGTTATCTTGCGGATGGACACCACCTCTCATGGAGGGAAGATTCATATCCTCGAACGCTCTCTGGTCTATGCTCGAATTTGACAAGGTAACCAGGGAATAGCTTGGATCCCCAGTGGCAGGTCTTTTGTACCTATCATGCTCTTTGAAAATTGGCGGGAATGGGCTCAATGGTTCGGGAGGGAAGAAGTCGAGATCTTGGCGCTCATCAAGAAGGCTTTCCAACTCCCTCCGCACCGTCTTCATGGAGCAGCGATTGTCGGGGGAAATCACCATCATACGCCCCAGAATGAACGTGAGGAAGGCTTTCGATGCCGGAGAAGCATTGGGGTGTTGTTTCAAGAAGTCGACCCACTACAAATGGTTAGGTGAGTTAGATGAAGGTGTTAGTGCGAGATCCCACTTACTCGTCTGACAGAATTCTTCACCATGGCCTTGGGATTGTTCTGGAGGCTTTCATCGCGGTTGAAGAATTTGTCGTCAGGGTGGCCATACGGCTCGTCGTCGTCCCTAAGCCGCACTTCACTGAAGCTCTCATAGTCCAAACCGTTCGATTGCCGGAAACATCGCTCATAGAGCGCATCGTAACCAACATGATGCCATGTTACAAACTCCAGGAAAACGCAGCCCAATGTCCAGATGTCATATTTCTGGCTCAGTGAAATCCCCTCTTTACAATCCAGCTCAGGCGGGCGGTATGTCCTCGAAAAGCCCTTAACATCCTTCGCGTCGGTATGCTCAGTATTAGGGGCATGGAAGCGCATGAGTGTGAAGTCTGCAACAACTAGACGCCCGCGTTGACTTTGTGAATTGAAGAAGAGTATGTTCCTCGGCTTGATATCTCCGTGACGACCTAGCCTTTTACTGTCGAGGTCGCCTTCATTGACATCGTCCTTTTCGTGGTACCGATGGACCTCGCATAAACCATCAGCAAGTCCACGGCATTGCTTGATGAGCCAGATCAAGTCGTCCTGCTCCGAAGGTCGACTCTTATATTTCCTCCAGAACTCTAGTAGATTGCACTCTGCCCATGGAAAGATCATGAACTGGTCTGCTCCTATCTCGTAGGAGAACAGCAGTTCAATTAGGTTGTCATGAGTCACATTCGGCCGGCTGAATCTCTCCAACGCGTCTCTTTCCATCCGAAAGTCTTCGTTATCATTACGGTGGAAAGACTTGATGGCATAGACTTCTCGGCAATCCTGCGTCAAAGTTCTTTAGAAACATCTCTCGTGTAAACTTTCCAAATAAGCGAACTCACTGCTTGTGATTTCCAGATTTGATGATCCCGATGAATTCTGATTTTGGACACACTTCCGTGTGCTCCTGATTTCTTGAAGTCCAGGGCATCCAGGAATGGCATAATATGACTGCAGCTGAATTTGCAATGCAGCGTTGTGGTGAAGTCGAATACGGGCGCGAGGACCTTATATTGCCACTGGCAAAAGGTCCATACATGGCGAGACTCCCAGCTCTTGAAACAACCCTTATGTGTCGCAGCATCAAGCGGAAGTTTGTCGTCAGAAATGCCGTTTCGAATAAAGCTGACGATGTAACAGGGTCTGTCGATGAACATAAGAATCGCGAATATCTTGATGCGTTGGTTGTGCCCTCCCTCTCCGCAGATGTGTTTTTTGGCGTTAATGGGATCATGCTTGCATCCGGCGGTTTTTCGAACCGAGTCTAGTATCTCATGAATATTCTTGCCTCCGAATATCTTTGTGAGTTCGCTTTGAGGCAGGAAAGAATTTGAGTTCTGTCCCGACGAATCTTTGTCCGGTTTGATAAGCCTCTGGTCAATTAGTTTCACGACTGGGTGATCTCCTTGACCAGCTGAAGCTCTGGCCGCACAAACACTAGAAACGTCTACGGGAGCACCAAGATGTCCAGTCGCAGATTCAGGACCCATGCTGAAGTGATTATGTCGCCCGAAGGACCCACTGGTTGCAATGAAGTTGATGGCCCGCTCCTAGTCCAACGATAAGAGTAGACCTTCGAAAGTATTCGAGGGCAAGATGTGGCGAGGTGCGAGTTACAGGCTGAGCCGTAGATATGTTACCAAACCCAATATCAAGGCTTCGACAGCTTGGGAGAAAAGGAGAATGCAGCATTTGATAAAAACCAAACGTTTATAAGTTATACCCAGAGAGGGCTGTAGCTAGTCTTTGATTTTCTGCGGCAGGTCAACCGATATCTGCCGTCATTCTCAAGAGCTGAACATATCCAGTCTCATAGTCCTGGCTTCCATGGGCCGCGGCCCACTCAGGTGCTTATCATCCTCGAGGGTAGCTACTTTCCCACCTTTCTTTTCACAACGGCGCCTTTGTATTCGCTCTAGTTTCTGCAGAAAGGTGCTATTAAATCGCCCATAAGGGAATGTGGGTGAGATAAATGCAGTTTCCTGTTGAAGCTTGCATCTTGCTGCAGACCGGTCTGCACTGAATGGGATAACGATATGCACGGTCGAGGCAGGCTCTGTGAGGCAGAACTTGGCGCATAGTAAGCATACGTCGTTGTATTGCGGGGTCGCCGTACAGGCTCGGTTATCAGGTGAGCCTGATTGGTAAGGGTGATGGTCTTCAAGGCTATCTCTTGGTGCTGGAGGGCTCGCTTCAGTCTCCGCCATCAAGCTTACTGGCGCTGCAAAGTGAGGCGACTGAGTTCTACTTGTAGAGAAGAAGCCCGGGGCTGTGACACATGCATCCTGCATGTACCTAGCAACCAACTCGACGGGCGTGGCCCCCCACCAGGCTTCGAGTATTTTCGGTTTATACATTTTAAGCTCATTGGTGAATTTCATATCATTTTGTTGCCCACGGAAGAACTTTCGGCATTCAATTCTAAGGAGTACGGAAGGATATAAGTAGCAGTTTTTGGGCAGCCCTTCAAAATAAAAGATCATCGCAGACTCAAACATCCTCAAAACCCTGATTCTGATTGCTGGCTCTGCATTGTTCGGCACCAGCTTTCATTACTCGCCATGGACTCCACACGCATCGAACGCCGTATACAGTCCAGCTCTATCAAGAAGCCAGAACATCTCGCATCGAATCTCCGAATCTTTTGTAGGGACAAAGGCTTTCAGATGGAGAGTTTGGAGCTGCGCAACGACGTCTATGTAATTTCCATGCGACCTCTGTCGCTGGAGCAAACCCCGGAAGCTAGTTGTGTCTGCTAGCACGAGAGCAAGTTATGCCGAAGCCACGTTTCTTACTGACTACTGACGATGTTTCCAGACTTTGCTGGAAGTAACAATGGGAATTACACATTTCAGAACCATGTGGGCGCAAGATTGGTTTGTGGACTGCATATTGCATATGCAATGCAGAAGGGATACTCATTGTCTGGAAAATATTTGTTTACTGCTCATGTACGATATGTCTTGATTTCTTTGATAGGACACCTCGATTGGTGTTTTCTCTGGGCGAAGATGGAAAGCATTTCATGATCATCGTCTTCATTCGCAAAAGTGAGGGGTCATCTCGGGCACGCCGACATGTTCACATTTAAGTACTCTGCATTTGGTTGGCAGCTTGGAAAGTCATGTCATTTCTCACCCGCAGATTTCCACATGCCGCATGATACACGTCAGAGGGATCCGGCTAGTCGCGGGGATAAGAGGGCAACCTCCTGATGGGCCAGTCCACTGAGGCCTGCAGGCTGCGACATGAAGCAACCTACAGCTTCATTGGTGGAGGTTCGAGTATCCACACAACCAACTGCTTACATCTGGGCTGATTTGCAAAGAAGCCTACTACTGCGGCGTGCTGCGCCTTGTCAGAAGCTGCCCGCATGTGTGGCAATAAGGCGACGAGGCGCATTTCCCGGTTAGGTAGTCATCTGCCATAAGTTCATCAAGTTTTGCTCCCTCTCACCCTCGCAGTGCTAACATTTCTGTCGACTCAACGCACAAAAGCGAATCATCCTTCCCGATGTCGACGTGGCGAATCGATGTGGTCGGCACCTTGGAACACATCACTTGATACTAAACCTTGCAGGTCCTACGTTGATGACCCCTTTCCTTCCATTCACACACACGGGATACTCGCCATTGTTCTCAGACAGGCCGTCGCCTTGGTTTCAGCAAGATGCCAACGGAGCACACGCTAGACATGGTCGATTTCGACTGCATCAAGAATCTGTTGACTCAGGTACCAGAAGGTACCGACACCAGCATGCGCGATCATTGCAAGCCGTTTTTGCCGAAGAGGGCAGCTCGGGGATTGGTCCAAAGACGCCTGGTAGAAGCTACGTTGAAGGAAGAGCTCAGGTTCGGGGAGGAAGACAAAAGCATTATAGCGAACTATGTTACAGATAAGGCAAAAAAAGTGTTCTTGATACTTGTGTACATAGAAGCTGACAAGAAGTGCTGGGAAATTCTCAAGGACACCGCCTTTAGCTTTTCAGACAAGTGTCTCCCGATCCCTGGGAAGAAAGTTGGCTCGCAAGGAGACCCGACGACAGGGTCACTTGCGTTGTCTTCAAGAAAAAAGGCAGAGTTCTTGCGGGACCAGTGGCTATTCTTGGCGCCGACGTTCCAGAAACGTTATTTCACGTACGAATTCGACCATGACCTCATACTTCCCTTTGTTGTCATCCCGAACGCCATGAAGGATGCTGGACTCTTCGGAAAGGTCTATCAGCTGGGGTTAAGAGTGGATCACATAGAAGATTCTGCAGTGTCTGCCACGGTAACGTTCACACCAATTGGACCACAGAAACCGAACGCTAATTTATTTGAAGCCTGATGGAACACCGAAGGATTACATTGAAGTTGCGTTGAAAGTCACTACCGTTCAGCGTACCAGGACGACCGCTACGGATGTGGAAAAGTTCTACGATAAGGAGACGCACACGCTAGAATTGATGAGGCAGCTTGACCACCCTCACTTGATAAGAGCTATAGCTGCTTACAAGAAGGGGCATTACAGATGCTTTGTTTTTCCATGGGCTCAAGGAGGAAACCTCAAGACTCTCTGGAAGCATGAACCACGGACGCTTGACAGGAAGATGGTCACTTGGGCCTTCAATCAGATTCTTGGAATTTCCGAGGGCATCGAGAAGCTTCACGAACGAAACGTACGCCACGGAGACATCAAACCCCTCAACATTCTCTACTTCCCCAAAAGGTCTAATAGTGGCTTTTCGTGGGGGAACTTGGTGATAGCCGACGTAGGCCTTGCGAAAGTCCACGAAGAATACACGAAGGAGCGTGATCCAGGTACCACTACCAGACACAGCACCAACATGTATGAACCACCAGAAATGGCTTTCTTCTTGCCGGAAACGACCACAATCTCTAGAAAGTACGATATATGGAGTTTGGGTTGCGTCTTCCTCGAGTTCATAGTCTGGCTTCGACACGGTCCAAACGGCCATAAAAGGCTACACAACAAGTTCAAAGCTTCGAACACATGGAGATTCTGGGTGTCGGACTCAGCTGGCCGGTTGAAACTTCACCAGGCTGTGAGAATGCAGATTGAAGAGATGAAAGACGAAGCCGGCAACAACAGTGTGGTCGGGAAATTGGCCAATCTGATCTCCGAGAAACTTCTTGTTTTCGAATATGATCGCACCGATGCTGAGGCCTTGGTCAGGGATTTGGAAAGAATTAAATCCGAATGCCGAGTGGGCAGCTTGAGCGATCTAGCTCCTGACATGGAAATCCTGGCTAATCAAGCATCAGGACCTTTTCCCCAATTGAAAGATGACCAAGACCTAGAGTCGCCGTTCAACCAAGTATGTCATGACGGTTGATGGTATACATGCACGAGGTTTGCTGACAGAGGTGGGCCAGTACGTGAGTCAATCGCCTTTTCAATACTCTTGTTGCTTTTGAAACAGACAACCATAACACTAGATTCCTAGAATGTGAGTTGGTTACCCACTTTGGCACATAAATCTTCAACTGACTTTTCTGTAGCCAGTAAGTTCAGATCGAACCGATTAAAAGAGAGTTTGGAAATTGCCATGAGCTCACCAATGAAGCGCACAAGCAAGCTCGATAGCCAATGGCGAACTATACCCGAGAATAGATGGGCGCGCACATTGATCAAGCGTCTCGAATGGGCGACACTGAGACCTGAAACAGAGATGGCGGAGTTTTGCGCTGCTTGCAGGAGCATTGACTTTACGTCATTGCAATTGTCGTTGGGCCGGGGCCTCAACGATTTAGATCGAGGCGCATTGTCATGTCCCATGTGCCGCTTTCTCTACCGCTGTCTTTCGAAGTTTCTGGCCAATCATGATGACATTGTGGCTCTATCCACAGACATTGATAAACATGCATTCGTGCTGTCCCATGATGCTATTCCTGCTATATCCATGTACTTCGACCCGGGTACGTAGTCTTTCGCAAGAACAGGTCAGTTTCTAACATCATTCAGAATTTCCCCCTTCTTCCCTACCTGGAGCACAGCTTGGCCTACCAATTCTTCCCAGGCCGGGTAGTCCACAGCAACTCACTATTCTCAATGAGTGGATCGATATTTGCAACCATTCCCACCATTGCGTATCTGGTCAAGTTGATGTGAGAAAAAGAGACATTCTACCAACGAGGCTTATTGACGTGGGGACAAGTCAAAGCCCCGGCCTGCGGCTCATTGAAACGGCAGATAATAGTAAACTTGGTCGTTACGTTGCTCTTAGCCACTGCTGGGGGGCTTTGAACGACGATGAACGGGTCTGCACATACGCGAACAACATCAAGAGCTTCAAGATAGACATCCCCTTTCACGCTTTACCAAGGACTTTCCGGGATGCAGTCATAGTCACACGCGCGTTGGGAGTGCAGTATTTGTGGATCGATTCACTTTGCATTATCCAAGGTGATGCTAAAGACTGGGAGGTAGAGGCAGGGAAAATGGAGGATGTGTTCAGCTCAGCGTATTTAACAATCGCAGCCACTGCATCTAAGTCGTCCTTGGATGGATTTCTACTCCATCAAACTCGAAGGTCTACCATTGGTATTCAGACCTCACAGGGAATTCTCTATCTGGCCGAAGCCATTGATAATTTCCAGGCAGATGTTGAGAGAGCCATCTTGAACACACGTGGTTGGGTCCTCCAGGAACGAGCGTTATCACGGCGAACCATACACTTTACCGCTACTCAAGTGTATTGGGAGTGCGGAGAGGGTGTCTGTTGCGAGACACTAGCTAAGCTTGGAAAGTGAGTTTCTTCGAAAAGGTCTACCTGCGCAAACGTCCAACTGACTGGTGGCTCTCTCATAGCCGACAATCACAGTTTCTCGGCGACTCCAACTTCCCAACGTACGGACTCCAGCACTACAAAGACGAACGTATCCGACTCGTACAATACCTTTATCGAGTCTACAGTGGACTTATACTCACGAAGTCTTCTGACCGCTCAAGGGCGATCCTCGGACTGCAAACACGCCTAAGCTCCACATTCAAATCGAAAGCCAAGTACGGTATCATCTCGGCATATTTCGAGAGAACCTTTCTCTGGCAAGCGACCATCTCAGGTTCTATGTCAAAAATCAACTACGAACCGAATCATACAGTTCCTTCATGGTCATGGATGGCGGTCATCGGAAGAATCCAATACATGGAAATTCCGTTTGGCGGAGTGGCGTGGACGGGCGATGTTGAGACACCGTTTCAGCCAGGCTTTGATGATGCCAAATGGGATGGACGACTGGTGGCCAAGGCAAGGCGACTTGCGATTGAAGATGCCGAGTTTGATGAGAAGTGCCAGGTCGATTCGAGTCTTTACAAGTTCGACCCAAGTTGTTGGAAGTGCGTGGTTGTTGGGAAGAGTAAGGTTGCCAACGAGGCCGGCGACAAGAACCAGTATGTTCTGCTTATACGCGAGAGGTCATCCGGCGTGACACCTTCTGTTTACGAACGAGTTGGTGTGGGTATACTATTGCAGACTCATGTTGGTGTGGAGACTACCATAGTTCACATTATATGACGCCTTCAGGAATTTGAAGGTTTTCCAAAATGATATACGTTTCAATACTGCTAGGACCATTTGAGCCGACCTTTGCTACTGGAGCGGATGATTGTCTTCTTCTTAATTTCGTTCTTCTTGTTATTACACCCCCTGTTCATTGTCGTTATCCGCATCATCGTTGTCGTCAGGCGTCTACTTGCCCGGATACCTGAGAGTGAACGTATTGGGGAAGAAAGTCATAGGCTCACTAAACTTTTAAGTGAAAGAATGTCATTACACTGAGTCAAATTCGTCTGCCTGAATAGTAAGACTCTCTGGCTTTGGGGCATGAATAAGACGACTTATGCAAATAGAGATATTGCGAACTTTCGTCACTCGGTGGCCCATGCAGAATTACATGGCAGTAATTCACACCGACCTGAAGAAGCACATGAATAATAAAGCTCGCAAAATCCAGGTCTCACAATCAGCGCCCAAAAGCCTCGCGGGTTAGTCCATGTGCTCATCCAGGCAATTCCCAAGTTTGCGTTCAATCTTTGTACATTGTATCTAACAATATTTACATCTAACCACACCCTCAATTACGCCAACTCTAAACCCTCCGCCTCAAACAGTCGAGCTGTTAATCGCCTTCCAAATCTCATCGCTAAGCGTCTTGTTCGCGTTAAAGTACGACGCCAGCTGCGTCTCCTTCTGCAACACCAGGTCCGCCACAAGCCGGCCAAAGACGACGCTGCCCTCGGCGTTGAGGTGCGTATTGTCGTCGGCCTTGAGGTTGTACGAGTGCGCCTTGTCCTCGCCGATCGCCTGCACGAACTTGCGGCTGTTGAGGTTGAGGTCGATGTACGTCGTCTTGGTCTCGGTGGCCGCCGCGATGGTACGCTCGCGCTCGTTGGCGAGGTTGTTCGTCACGACGCCGTTGGAGAAGCTGCGGCGCGTGAGGGGGGTGACGAGGATGGGCGTCGCGCCGAGGGCCTTGATCTCCTTGGCGAGGTTGCCGAGGTTTGCTTGGTACTGGTCGAGGGAGATGTTCTTTTCGGGCTTTTGGTCGTTGTGGCCGAACTAAGAGGCGGTCTTCGTTAACAGCTTGTTCTCTCACACGATGTATCCTGATGAAGCACAAGCAGCAGAAGAGGTCTGGCTTACCTGAATGGTCACGTAGACGTCAAAGTCCTTGACGCTGTCGGTGACGGCCTTCTTGACAGTTGCCCAGTAGCCTCCGCTGACGTAGTCCACCGTCGTGCGGCCGTTGACGCCGTAGTTGGTTCCCTTGGCCGGGCTCTTGAGGAAGCTGAGGAATCCGTTGCCCCAGCCGCCGCCGCCCTCGGACTGCTTCGCCGTCGTCGAGTCACCGGCGAGGTAGAAAGCGGGAGGCTTCGCAGCTCGCTTCTCTGCTGGGGGCGCAGCCATGGCCATGGCCGGCAGCAGGGCGGAAAGGATGGTTTGAGCCTTCATGTTGTGATAGTCTACACGGGGGGGTTGTCCGGGCTGAGAGTCGAATAGCTTCAAGATACACAAAACAACACCGACGGGTACGAGGAACGAGGAGCAGCCATCTCGGCCTCTTATACGAATCCGGTTTCAAGACTCAAGGAAAGAGACACTCCGTAGCTTTCCCCCAGAGCTGCATGACCCTTACAAACCTAACCCTCGTCAACAGCATTGCCAAGCCATGCGACCAACCAGATGTTCGGACGCTCCTTTCTGCTTCTGGTTCGTTTGATCCGATGTGCGGTTGAGCCAGGGTTGCCATTGTAAACAGAACGGTGCAATGCAAGCTGTGGCCAGCTGGTCTCGACACATACATAGCACAGCGGCGTGGAATTCAGCGAAGCAAAAAAAGTTAGACCCCTGACGCGCCGGGGATGATGCTGGGAAACACGGAGATGTGCGGGGGACCCAGGCTTGCCAGGACGGGCATTCGCAGCCTGCAGCTGCACTTTTTTAGAGTTTCTCCGTCAATGGGAAGGGAGAGCTTGTAATGTGGCCCATGGCAAGCTGTGTACTTGGCACATCTCCAATTGGAGCTAAGCTTTTGAGGGGTGTTCAGTGAGGGGGGCACTGACATGGGATGGGTTGAAATGCGACGCTTCGTTCCGACGGAAAAAGCTGGGGGACCATTCTGATCTCGGATCTACGCTAGCTACGTAAACTTGCAGGACGCAGGACGCTGCAGCGGCAGTCTTCTCCCGCTTGGGAAAGGAAGCGCTGCATGCCGGACGAACGGACGGCAGTTTGTAGCTTCTCGCGGGCGAATCCGAAAAGTGAGCGAGAGAGATCGCGGGGAAATCCTTCCAGTGCGGATAGATTAAACGTAGATTGGGAACGCGAGCAGGGGCGAGTACACGAGGAGTGGAGTTCGTTCGGCCCTTGGAACATATTTCACCGTCGCAGTTCGTCCGATTCGGGCGCGAGGTTGGACTAGAACTGGATCGTGGAACTGGGAGCCGCCCGAGGGGCATCCCAAAAGAAGCAAAGTGAAGGGGGGGCTCCGGAGCTGGGATGCCTTGGTCGGTGAGCCGGCCACGATCACGCCGTAGCCCGTGGGATGGCCGTGATTGAATTTGACAGCCGTGACTCGTGGAAATTGTGGGACGACACAATATGTTTTGCAGATTGCCTCATTATCATCATACAGCTCTATACCGCAAACGGGTACGATGTGTTTGTGTTTTGAAGGGGGTATTCTAGTAGGAAGCTTCGAAATGGGCGTGCTGTTGCGCCGAAGATGCCGTCCTTCCCGGATGTCCCGAATTGCATACTCATACTCTTACAACAATGCCCTCTCGTCTCGTCGTCCCAAGTTCCAGATGAGAGGGCATGAATGTCCCTTAATTTTCGTGTTACATCATGTGTCCATGAAAATTCCGTCCATCCCAAAAAAACTCAAGCTGGTTGCTTGGAAACTTTTGTTGCCAGTAGAAAGCCACTTTGGTGTTTTTTTCTTTCCGTCCAATCCGTCCAACGCCCGCCCACACACAACTCATAAACACATACAATCGGGTTTAAATCATCGGTTTCGGTTACTAGACCACCGCTTGACCATGACTTCGCGGATCTTGTACAACTTGAAGACCTCCGCCGGGCCGCCCTTCTGGAGAGCCTCGTCGAACTGGGGTGGGGGAGGGATGTCGACATAGACAAGAACCAGACTCTTCTGCACGTGAGACAGAACGCGCACAACGCCGTGGAGCCATTGCCAAGTCTTGCGAGGGAGCTCGCGATCGCTGTCCTTCCACCACTGGTCTGAGTATGAGGGCAGGATGATGGCACCGAATTCGGCGTGATCAAAGACGGGGCCCTTGGCATACAGCATCCAGTCGACGCCGAACTTGATGCCGGCGCGGGGCACCCAGCCGAGAGAGCGGAAGTGGTGGTAGACTGCATAGTTGACGAGGAAACTGTCGTCGGGGTGCAGGTCGGTGCTCGCGCGAGAGGGGAAGTAAGAGTACTGGCGGAAGAGGTTTAGGAGCTCGGGGGTAGGGATGGGTTGCTTGTTGATTGGGTTGACGACGCGAAGAGCGCCGAGACCGAAGGTGAGGAAGAATGCTTCCTCGGAGGTGAGTTGAAGGTGTTCCTTGTTGACGATCTCAGTTGGTGTAGCCTCCGTCTGTGTAACATGTGTGCCATTCGTCTGCGGCTCTTGATCCGACTCCACGACACTAGGCCCTAGAGATGCCCCATTGAGGGATGGTATCGACTTGCCATTCAGCAAAGCAAAGCTAGGGCTAGGAGGGTCGGACGACAGGTAGGTGGCCGACTCAACCTTTGGAGAGAATCGCACACTCTTACGGCGTTTCATAGGTTTGGTAGGGGTTGAAGGAACATCCGTCGACGTTGTGCTCAGTGCCTTGGTACTCTCGGTGTCGGTGCCGTTGACAATTCTGTCGTGATCCAGAAGATCGTTGATCAGATGCCCAGTTGACGGCTTGGTAGACCCGTCATGCTTGACATCTTCAGGTATCGTCGACAGCTTTGGCGCGATAACCTTGGCCTTGCTGATGCCGTTCGTTGTGTCGTTCGACTCGTGAATAACAGCAACGTGTGCGTTCGGGAGTGACAACAGCTCCAGCGGGCCGACAGGCGCGGCGAAGATCGAGACAGGTGACGAGTGGCTGTTGACCGAGACGCCGGATCCGTTCACACCGTTCAGGGTGACAGACTCTGAGTCGCTATTCACCAGTGTCGACTCCGGACTGTGAATACCGTTCGTCGAGGCGTGGACGTAATCAGCTGCGGCCAACGACGCGTGCGAATTAGGCAGACGGAGGAGTTCGAGAGGGCCGGTAGGAGAGGACGATGCAGTAAGAAGAGGAGACAAGGGTTCGCCGAGGGCCTTGGCAATCTCGGTTGCTCGAAGAGCATCCTCAGGCTCGATGATCGTCGCCGATCCAAGGTTGGCCGTCAAGGGCTCAATGGGCGAAGAGACACCGTTGACTAGTCCAGTTTCGACGGCAGACAGAGAGTCGACAGACGCAGAAGGCACAACACCAGGCTTAAGCTCGGTAGGCGTATTTATGGACGCATCCTTGGTCACATCTTGGGAGAGGGATTCTTGTTCGGTGGCCGGGTCGGCAGGGACAATTGGTTCAGGCAACGAGATCGCATCAGTCAAGGCGGGTTCATGGCCGTTGACGGAACTAACAGTGGCATCGGTGGTCTTGGACGTGGCTTCCTGCGCTTCCTGGAGACGCGTTTGACGGATAGCTTCTTGCTCGGACTTGGCGCGCTCCCACTTCATCTGCCTGCGCTCTTCGCGACGATTGGCCGTCACGAGCTCGCTGACCTGACCAGGAACCAAGCCACGGCGAACCTGCTCGCGCTTCAGCCAGTTGGGCTCGCTTCGACTCAGGTTGCCCTTGCCATAGAATCCCTGCTCCCACAGCGCGCGCATGGACTTCGCGTCGAAGACGTTGACGGACTTGGACTCGGGGGACCAAATGCCTTCGTACACCACGGACGGCTCAGCAGGCGGTGGGAAGAAAGTCTGTTTCGTCCATGCGTACAAAATGTGGAAA